ATTATCTACAAAGAACCTGCTGCCAATATCATACTGAATCCTAACGATCAGATGCTCATCTCTTACCATCTCAGCAATATGTCCACTCTTACCATTTGTATTTAACACTCAAGTTCCAGCCTCATTAAAGAAGGAAAGGAAATAAAAAGCTGTACATCATGAAGAGAAATAATGAAATTCTTTTCAGAGGAAATGATCCACGGGGGGAGGGAAAATATCTCATGGAATTGACAAAAAACAATGCCGTAGAGCATTATTCAAAGGCCACAGATCGAAAGTTTTATTCACGGATGTCAACAGTATCGTGTCCAGCAACAATAAGCAACTGAGCCCAGGCCCGGAGTTTAAGCCCCACAATCGACAAAAGAAAATAATAATAATACAGAAAACATAAAAGCAAACAATTTAGTTTGAAATTAAAAGTGTAATGCCATTTATATTTATGTCTACGTTTTATACTCAAAGACTAGACATAAATGTAACAAAAGACTTCTGAAGACCTATACTTGGAAAACTATGTAATAAATGTGGAGATACTTTATATTTTTGGATGTGACTATAGTTTAGAAGGAAAGAAAACAGACCAGGAAGAACCATCATGGTACTGAAGAAAAGGAACTAATAAAGGCAGCATGGTATTGACCAACAGCGCATCCCTGAATCCACAAATCAGAATGAGGAGGAAAGAAATGAGTACACAGAAATATGGTCACATTAACAAATGCATTTCATTGAAGAAAGGATAAAAGATGGTATTTTCAATAAATGTTACAATGCCTTGGTACCTGTAATCACACACACACACACACACACACACACACACACACACACACTGCACTCATATAATTTGTTCGCTTTATAAAAGCTAATGTAACAAGGATGAGACGTGATATGTGAAATGCAACATTAGAAGACTCCAGAAGATAAAATAAGAAAGAAAAAACCAACTAAGTGACATTGGCTAGGTGATAAGTAGTTATATAGATCAAACGTATTATCAGTGCAAAAATTGTTAAGTTGGGGCCGGGCAGGTGGCTCAGCGGTACAGTGCTAGCCTTGCATGCATGAGGCCCTGGGTTTGATTCCTCAGCACCACATAAGCAGAAAAAGCTGGAAGTGGCGCTGTGGCACAAGTGGTAGAGTGCTAGCCTTGAGCTGAAGAGCTGAGGGACAGTGCCCAGGCCCAGCATTCAGGCCCCACGACCCCCCCCCCCACACACATACACACAAAAATTGTTAAGTTAGGGCTTACTAAAAGTAACTGTGAAGAGAATGGAAATGTGAAGAAAGCATAGTCTTGCACAAAATGTTTGCAAATTGCCTTTCTGGTAGAAGACTCATGTCCAAAATATATAAAGACCTCTTAAAATTCAACAAGAGAATGAGTCAACAAAAGGGCAAAAAAAAAAAAAAAAAAAACCCACAGACCTAAAAGTATTCATATAGCAAGTGAGAAAACTCTAAACACTGCCTGTCATTAGGAAATTGCACATTAAAGTATCACTGTTCTATGAGCCCATTTCAATCAACAAAATTAAATAAATAAACCTAACAATATCAAATATCCATGAAGACATGAAGACGCAGGAACTTATCATTATTGATGGCCAGAGTGCAAAATCAAATACCTACAAAGGAGTATTTGGTAATTTCTCATAAATCTCAAAAAAGAAAATATTTCCTCAAATTGCAGCAACCTGTACCCAGATAGTCCAAGCACTCAGTTGCAAACTCAGGTCCACAGTAAACTCTTCTTTACATGAATAATAGTAACGTTATTCATAATAACCCCAAACTGGAAGCAACTAAGATATCCTTTGATATGTAAATGGATAAACAAACCCGGGTACATTCACACAATGCAGTATTATTCACTGGTTAAAAAAAAAAGACATGAGCCTACCAAGCCATGCAACAAACATAGCTAGAATGGAAATCTTTTCTGAAATGAAAAGAACCAGGACTTAGGGCAGAAATGACTATTTTTAGGACAAGAGTAAGAAATGTTGAAGATAAGGTTTCAACATTGTATGATACTACAAAGACCATCAGAATGACCAGGGCTTGGTAAAACAGCACGCCGGGTACAAAGGAAGTATTCTGGAGTCCAACATAAATGACTGAAGACGTGCTTCATAAATGCTTGAGTAAGTTAGGAAATGATGGAGAAGAGACCAGTCTCTTCTCCCACATAATCACACATAATCTATGTGGACACGCCCCTCTAAAGTATGGTGTAGCTAGCTGAGTGCTGGTGGCTCGCACCTATAATCCTAGCTACTCAGGAGGCTGAGATCTGAGCATTGTGGTTCAAAGCCAGCCCGGGCAGGAAAGTCCATGAGACTCTGATCTCCAATGAATCACTAGAAAACTGGAAGTGGAGCTGTGGCTCAAGTGGTAGAGCGCCCGCCTACCTGGACAGCGCCCAGGCCCAGAGTTCAAGCCCCGCAGCTGACTAAAAAAAAAAAAAAATGTATGTGTGAAAAGGGGATGGACACCCACTTTATGAGGCCAGTGTTGGGTGAACACAACTTGAGCAGGTGACAGAATCTACAGGGGGAGACACATATCTGAACAACACTCCTCAAAACCTGGGATGACCAGAGCTAAGGTCCGTACCCTGCGAATCTAAACAGACAAACAACTACACACACACACACACACACACAACCTTAGAAGAAAACATTCTATTTCCACCTTTAAGAAGCCATGATAGATGGAGGAGGTTGGATACACTTGAACGTGATTATACTCCTCTAGCCGTGGACTGAAATATGGACTGCTAAGTACAGGAAGTACAATTTTATGTGTGGATGTACCAATCACAATGAAATTTAGTTAACAACGTACGTGTAAGGAAAAGAAGTGGGAAGAAAAAGTCAGGGTCAGCTAACAAATGACATCGTCCAAAGGAACCTGTGGCTCTATGTAACTGCAGCCAAATGTGATGTGTTAACTTTCATGGTACCTGAAAAATGAAAGACCAAAAAAAAGCGTACGTGATAGAAAACTCAAGAATTCTAAGTAGACTATCACTTTTAGTTTACAATAAGGTGCCAATATTGGTTTTTTTTTTTTTAAAAAGTAATGTATCATACGAATGTAAGATGTTAAAAAGAAACTTCCAAGGGGTTCATGCATGGGAATGCAGCATGATCTGCTTCATTTTTCTGTAAGTCTAATGCCATTTGTAAGAATAAAAATCCATTAATTTAAGATCGCTAATGTATAAATAATAATAGTTAACCAGAACCACACTTAAAAAAATACTTGGAAGCCATTTTTCTTTCAAAATGGCTTGTTAATGGCATGAGAACATACTAATACTCCATTGAGTGAAACAGGTTGAAAAATTAATGTTAAAAGAGAGAGCTAATCAAATTAACAGAATATGTAAAAATGAAATAAAAAAGAAATGTGTCATCATGTTAAAAGTCTTAAGGCTTGAAATTCAGGTGGTTCTTTTTCATTTTTATGCTTTAAAAATAATGATCAGGGCCTAGGGTCAACATAAAGAAACGATTACTATGTATAAATGTGTCTATATGTGTCTATATACATGCGTATTTATTCCCTTATTTATTATCTGGGTCTTCCTTTGAGCTCTGTTTTTATCTCCACAAGAATTGGAGAAGACATGAAATTTAAAAAATACCAAAAGTTGTGGGTTGGCATACTTATGTCTAAAATTGCTTCCAATAACAAGATCATGAGAACGGCATGAGTTTCATCCAGAAACAATTTATCACCCACTTCTAGCTCTGATTGGGACCCAGAAATAATTAATTATTACATGACTGTCACATGCACTGGTTAACTTATCTCTGTGTCAAATGTAGCTTATTTCTCCGGTGTCCTCGCGGATTAGAAAGGACCCCAATGCCGTGATGTGTGGTATAGACCGAGTCTGGTTTTAGTGTACAGTATGTCTTGGTGTGGTGGGCTTGTTGTCAATTTCTGTGGAATGAAAAGTCTAGTCTGGTGTGGGAGACAGCGGTTTTGCTAGCGCTGGCAAGGGCTTGAAGAGCAGTAATTAAGCAAACATAGCATAGTGAGTGACTGTCAAGTCTACCTAAACTTGCGAAAGTTACATTTGCTATTTTACTGGTTGCTTTTCTTTACCGTTAAAATAATCCTATATACATATTACTTCCAGGCTACCATCAGCAACTCTTAGATGGATTTAGAGCTGAAATCTTAACTCAAAAAGAAAGGAAGGAAGAAAAAAGGAAAAAAGTAGAGATAGGAAAGAAAAGGAGACGGAAGGAAGGAAAAATAAAGGAATTAAGGAAGGAGGGAAGGAAGTTAAGAAGACTCAATGGAAGGAAAGAGGAAGTAAGGAAAGAAGGCAGGATGAAAGAAAGGAAAAGAAAGAGGAAGAAAGAGAGAAGAAGGATGAAAGAACAGAGAGAAGGAAAGAAAAAAGAAAGGAAGGAAGGAAGGAAGGAAGGAAGGAAGGAAGGAAGGAAGGAAGGAAGGAAGGAAGGAAGGAAATTTCCTCACTTCAACAAATGGGCAGTTTATCATACACTTAGAAAAATCACTAGTTTTTAAAGTCGGTCTGGCCACATTCATCTTAGACTACACAAGAAACACACCTAACCGGGAAGGTAGACTATGATGTATTAATGTATAAAGGTTGTAAACCTAAAATAAAATCCTAAAATGGCCCTTGAGATGCCAAAAAAAACATGACTCGAGATGAAATGACTAGAAATAGGATATGGCTAGCTTTTAGTCTGGACTCTGTTGTCCTGTCTTGTTACTGAACCTTGACATCTCTTTCACTCAGAACTCCTCGGTGTGTGAAAAGAATCCGGACTGAAAATCACAACGGAGACTTGTTCTGTGGTATATGAAATGGCTCTTCCTAGCATTGATTCCATTCTCTTCACTTGACAAGAGACGCGGACACAAGAGAGCGCGTGACAGCAGCTGAACGCAAACGATTAAGCTCGGGAGGTGGCCCCGGACTCTGTTTCCCTTCGTCCACCATTTACCTTCTGGCTCGTTTTTGATGAGTTCTTCCATTTTCCTCTGCTTCAATGTGTCTACCACATCGGCTAAGCTACCCTTGCGCCGTTCAGGGGTCCCCAGGGTGGCACTAGGCAGGGACTCCCCAGTTTGTCGCCCACCTTCTTCTGCCTTCTGGGGTGAGGTAGATGAGTTGTGTGCCGTAAATGAAGACATAACTTTATTGCCATCAACTTCCTGTAACAGAAAGCAGAGGAGACAGAGAAGATTGGTGGTGTAAAATCTACTCACTTGGCTTACTCAGCCAACCTCTGACACACACACAGACACACAGATTACAAAAAAGAAAAAAAAAAGTGACAAGTCACTCTGGGAGAACGTAGAAATGAAGGGAAAAAAAAATCAGAAAGGCTCCCATCTGTCATCCTAGCCCCTCAGGAGGTTTAGTTCTAAGGATCGCAGTTCAAAGCCAGCCCGGACAAGAAAGCCTGTGAGACTCTTGTGTCCAATTAACCAACTAAAAGCCAGAAGGGGAAATAGTGACTCAAGAGGTAGAGTGCTAGCCTTGAGCACAAAAGCTCAGGGACAGTGCTCCAATACTGAGTTCCAGCCCCACGACCAGCACATACACACACATGTACGCACGCACACACACGCACGCATACACGCACACGCACACACACACACACACACACACACACAAGCTGACTGCAGGCTAGCACTAAAGTCAGTGATCAGTTCATAGGAGACAGTCATTTCATGTTTCTACTTTTAAAAGTCGCAGACTTAACTCTGAGCATCATAGTTGTCAGTATTAAATTTCCTCATGACATTTCAACATCCCTTAGATTTCAATGATCACTCATTTGCTTTTGCTTTAATAAACTCATAAAATTGCATCTTTTCGGAATGTTAAAATGTTATGTTCATGATCTTTAAGTCCTTGCACAAAGTGATTTCAAACCAATATGGCTGTTTCTGAAGGCAATGTCAGGATTCCCTCATTCTCCTCCATCTCTCCCCCTCCCCCATCTCTCCCCAAATCTACTTATTTTTAAATGAAGAAGTTTTCATTTCACGGAGTTGCCTCTTCTCTTGTGCTGGCACTGGGACTAGAACTCTGGGCCCTGCGCTCTCAATTGGCTTTTCCACTCATTGCGTGGTGCTCTGTGGCTACAGTCCAAACGACAGCTCCTGCGTTCTGAGGGCTGGGTGGAAATAAGAGCTTCACGGCTTGGCTTTATCTGCCGTGGCTGGCTGGATTCTCAGTGCTCAGTCTCCTGAGTAGCTGGGGTAACAGGAGTGAGCCCCTGGTGCAAGCTCTTGTTTCTAGCATCCTAATTGAAGGAGGGTCCTCCCTTAGCTAGCTCCTTCCTCTCAAGGGAGCTCTCTCTCCTCTCTGATGGTTTTGCTGCTGTGGCCCAGGACTGGGGCTTGAGCACAGGGCCTGAGCATTGGTCCTGAGCTTTTGTGCTCAAGGCTAGTTAGTGCTCTACCACTTGAGCCTCAGCTCCACTTTTAACTTTTTGATGGTTCACTGGAGGTAAGAGACTCATGGACTTTCCTGCCAAGGCTGGCTTAGAACCACGGTCCTCCTATTTCATTGAGCCCAGGAGCCAGGATTACATGTCTGTGCACCTGCAGTCCTTAGACACTTTTAAGAAAGCCACAGCCACACAGGAGATCCTGCGATCAGACAAGAGTTTTGTAAGTTCACTTGTGTCAGGCTGAACAGTCTCCTCTCATTCCTTATTTGGAATTTTTCTGAAACTACTCCAGATTGTTGTTTTCTTGTTTCACTTAAAATCTTATTTGTGCTACGGAATAGTTTCATAATTTTTTCTTTTGTACGTACACGTGCTCATTAGCTCTAAAATTTAGTAGATCTTGTCTTGTATCATTACTTCCCAAACGCCTGAATATCTATTACAACTTTTCAGTGTGTGTAACATTTGGAGTAAATTTTGTATAAAAGATAATCATTTATTTTCAGGTGAAATGGAAATGATAAAAAAACACTTAGTTTGCTTATTTAAAGGTTTTTGCTCTTACCTCCTACACAGCGCTGGTCTTAATCATAAAGCTGCATCCTAAGAATCTTGAGTCTTACACTAAGTGTATTTCTGATTTTTATAGCATTCCAAGTGTCCATAAAGACAGAGTTGAGTGAGAGCATATTTAACATTCAGCATAACAGATTATACCTGTTTACACATTCATTCTTCTCCCTACTTAAGATATTTAAGAGGATCTTTTGATTCCAGAAAAGTGACAGATCATATTGAGGTTTTTCTTTTTTATAAGGTTCATGCTAATATTTTTTAACTAGCTTAAAAACGTACAAAGACACTTAGCTAAAACTGCCATTCTAATTTTCTTAAAAATAGATGAAAAGCAGAGTTGTCAACACAAATAAAACATGTGAGGATGATTTATGATTTTGCATTAGTGGAAATTAAGAAGCGCAGGGGAGTCACAAATCCAAAGTCAGTTCTCCTGGTACAGCCGACACATGTGAAGAAAGCAAAAGTAAGAAGATGTGTGCGATAGAATCTTCTAGAGCGCAACTCCTTCATGGTTGTAAGTGGTTGCAAACCATCCCACAAGGCTTGCATATCTTACGAACATTATGGTGTGCCTCGGATGGTATTATACCTTTCCTGAATATTCGGTATATGATTTAGTTTCTAATAACACTTAGGTTTAGAAAAACAATACCCAAAGTGGAATAATTACCAGCTCTGTGGGTGAAGTGAATGCACACTTCTGGAGTTATTTAAAACCCATTCATAGCATAAATGAACACATTAACACACACACACACACACACACACACACACACACACACACACACAGAGTCACAACTAAAAGGAGCAGTCACAACTTAATTCAGTAAACTAATCAGAATGTTCTTAGGAATGGACCGTAATTCACAGGAGGTACATTTCATGTGCAATATAGAATAGAGAAAAATCTCTGTATTGAATTTCTACACAATGATTCCCATCTCTCTCTGGGGCCCAACCAACATAGAAATGCCTCAACATCAGCTTCTCTGCGGAGATTTTTGTTTGTGCCCTATGTATATCTTGAAATGGGGCAAACATTTAAAACCAAGAGTTCTTCATAGTTGCAATTAACACACATCTCTCTCTCTGTAACGTATTGTCCCTGGAGAGTATGTCACCAAAATTAATCTGTAACTAGATTAATTAATCTGAAATTAATTAATTTAATTAATCTGCAAATACTTCCACAGGTAGTCTGAATTTAGTTTCCACCAGGCAGATTCTCCAGTAAAGGAAGGCCTAGTGCTCTTTCCTGGGATTAACTTTGTCCTACAGGAACCAATCACCCTATGCTCTTTGCCTGCACACAAAATCTGAAGAAGCAGCCACCCCAAGCCTGCGTGGATCCCGCCGGTCATTTTGGTGGTTCTCCTTGGCTGCGTTGATCCCTCTTAATTTTTTATCATCTTGAAGGAGATGTACAAAGGAGTTGCCATTTAACAGAGTGGATAATGAATACCACGCGGCTTGATCGATGTCGCCTCCTTTCGACATTCACACCCATTCGTCCCTTACCCACCACCTTCTTCCTCTTCTCCATTTTGTTGGACGTACATTGGATTCTTCTGAGGCAAGTCTTACCAGCTCAATAAGCATCAAGATTTGGTCAGGAGCTCACAAGAACGGTGATGAGGACTTCTGAAGCCTAATGAAGGTCGTAAACTTCCTGGAGGAAGTTGATATGATTACCATCTTAGCATTATTATTATTGTTACTGCTATATCTTGAGTCGCATTATTATTATAACAACTGCCTTGGTGGGGCTGGAGCAAGTTTTACTTCATCTTGTCCCATTTGCCACCTTTTTAACAAGAGAAAAAGGAAAAAGGGCACCTAACTAAACCAGCCTCAATAAAGCATGATTTTTTGTTGTTGTAACACACCCAAAAAAGTGTATTCTTCTTTAATTCATTGTGAACTCAACACCTTGGTGTGAGCGCTTGGAGAGAAATGTTATGTGGAACTTAATCTCCTTTGCACAAAGAATCGACTGCAGGCAACTCAGCCAGATACACCTCTTTATTATTCAAGTGACATTATCACCCCTGCCTTTTCTCCTTAATTTCTTTGTTGGGGGTGGTGGTGTTGGTCCTGGGGCTTGAACTCTGGGCCTGGGTGCTGTCCCTCAGCTCCAGCTCAAGGCTAATATTTCTTGGTAGTTAATTGGATATAAGAGTCTCATGGACTTTTCCTGCCTGGGCTGGCTTTGAACCGAGATCCTCAGATCTCAGCCTCCTGAGTAGCTGGGATGACAGGCGGGAGCTACCGGCGCCCAGCTATTTAATTTCTTAATTATCCTGCTTACTTCTTGATTCTAGGGCATTCAATGTAATACTTAACATAAAAACATTAAATTTAATTTTTCATTTACCAGTCAGTAATAAGAATGCTTGCTAAGTGTATTGAATCCTTGGGTGTCAGACATTGTTCAAAGTGTCTCCCATACAATAAGTTTAATTAATCTTTGTGGCAAAGCAAATTACGATTTCCATTTCATAGTTACAGAAACTGATGCGCAGCAAAAGATGTGAATGTCTGAACTACCTGCATAACAAAAGGCCAGGTATCAAATTAACTGTAACCTATTGGGCTCTAGGGTCCTTTTTTTTTTTTTTTTAACATTGGAGCTACTTTGCCCCTTATTTAAAAAAAAAACGAGAGAGAGAGAGAGAAAGTGGGTGGGTGGGAAGGAAGAGAGAAAAGGATGGAGGAGGAAAGGAGAGAAAAGAAAAGAAGAAAGTTAGGAAGGAAAGAGGAAGGGGAGGGGAAGGAATTCAGATGGGAGGGAATGGGAGGAGAGGGAAGCAGACAGAAAGAAGGGGAGGGGAAGGAAGAGGAAGGTAACTGAGGGAAAAGGAGAGAAAGTCAGAGATGAGGAGGGAAGGAGAGAGAGAGGGGGCTGGATGGAAGTTAGGAAGAAAGGAAGTTAGGAAAGAAAGAGGAAGGGAAAGGGAGAGGAGGAGAGGGAAGAGGAGGCAATGGCTGAGGTAGTCCATGCGGATCATTTCCACAACCCCTTCTAAATGTGGGTCCCTGAACGAATCTCTGGCAAACCTGGGAGTATCTCACCCATCTCTGTCAGCCCTGCCCTCTGACGGCCTCAATCAGACACCAAGGGCCAGAGGCCACCGCTGCGCGATTGTGCCTGCTGACAGCAGCCTTCGCTAG